TGGGGGGCAGATCCCGGCACTGAGATGAAACATGCCCCAGAGAGCATGGACACCCAGTCCCATCCTGGCTAAGCTGATCTCACTGGGCAAGCTAGTGTCCCTCTCTGGGTTTCAGTTTCCTTCCCTGTAAAATAGGAGTCATAATTCCATCTTTCAGAGAATCCATGTTTTCAACAGGCTGAGTAGACTCTAAGTTCTATTAAAACATGAGAGATGGAAACCTTTAAAAAGACAAATCAAATATTGACTCTCTCTGCCTCAAAACCCTCCAGTAACCCCCCACCACGTGTGAATTAAAACCAAAGGTCTTGCTCTAATACCTCAACCATCTCCATACCCCATCCCTGCTCTCCAGTCACATTGGCCTTCTGGCTGCCCCTTCTACTGACACAGCAAGCTCACGCCTGGGAGCATTTGTATCTGCTGTTTCCTCTGCCACAAATGGTTTTTCTTGAGATCATTGCATGACAGCTTCCCTCAACTTCACTCAAGTGGCTATTCAATGCCGTCTCTTTGAAGAGGCCTTCCCTAACCACCCTAGCTAAAACAACACCCTTCATCCCTTACTTTCCTTTACACTGCCTTATTTTTCTTCTGCGACTTATTGCTTAACATAAATGTAAGCGGTTTTTTTTGGTCTCTCTCCAGAAGTCCCTTGGATGCAGGAACAGTGTCTTCTCCAGTCACTGTGCTATTCCCAAGCCTAGAACAGTGCCAGGCCCCCAGAGGGCTCCTGCCTCCCTACCCAGAGCTGTCACCACTGTACCACCCACCTCATCCTAAAAACGTTCACAGGTGCCCTGGTGTTTCTTCTTCTCTATGAAGGGCTTGTATATGCAGGGAACCTCCCCGTGCTAGTGCCCTGACAAACCAACACATGTCCACTGAGGCCGCATAGGCAAAGGTTAACCACAACTGATGTGAGTCTTCGTAGAACACCCTGGGATCGTCCTGGAAAGTGCTAAGTCAGGAGGTCTTGCAAGTAGTTGCCACAAGGCCATTTCTGTCTTCAGGGAGGCTGTCACAGGCCGTTTCTCTGCTGCCTCCCAGTTCTGTCAAGGTGGGGCTTCCCCTGCACTCCTCCGGGTGGGTACAGCAACAGCCTGTACCATTGCTTAGCTGCAGTGTGGAACTGGCCCCCTCAGCAACAGACACCAGTCACCCCTGTTGCTGTCATCTGGCTCCTTATGTTTCAATGTCATCTTGCTGACAAGGGATGTGGGGAGCTGACAACCTTGATGATCTTGCTTTTCCTGCCCATGTAAATACGAAACGGTCTCAACTCATTTGGGCTCGATGTGTTTCCACCTACTAAATCTATGGCAGAGCAGCCCACTAACGGAGCAGCTTCCAACACTTGGCATCTGTTAGCCTGACAGTATTACTTCCATGACTGTCCCCTCTGAGGTGCACCTGTGGGTGCTCAACCTCATGTCGTGAAGGTGAACAACCTCATGCTAGGTTGTTCCTGCCCACAGCCTCTCCCCAGTCTCCAACCACGGGGATCTTGTTACTCAGAAGCCTGAAACAAGGAGCATTTTTAGACTACCACATGTAGCAAAGTCAGTCTCCATAGAAATAATTGTTTAAAAGCACACCATGCTCCCTGAGCCAAATAATGGTTGTGTGTGGGTTCGCTGTGCCCACATCACCTCCACTAGTGCAGATGATGGGAATAGCTTTTGTTTTCTCCCCTGTGGCTCAACAGTGCAGGGAAAGCAGCAGAGCTTCTGGGGCCAGACACACACTTGGGTACATTTCTGGCTTTATGCAGTATATCAATTTCCTGAGGCTATTGTAGCAAAGTACCACAGACTTGATGGCTTAAAACAGCAGGAATTTATTCTCTCACAACTCTGGAGGCCAGAAGTCCAAAATCAGCACTGCTGGGGCAACACCAAGGGGGTGGGCAGGGCCAGGCTCCTTCTGGAGGCTCTAGGGGAGAAGGTGTTCCTCTACTTGGCCAGCTTCTGGGGGCTGTTATTCTGTGGTCTGTGGCTGCATCACCTAAGTTTTCAAGGCCAGCAGCTTCAAATCTCTCAGTTCCATGGTTACATGGCTCTCTCTCTCTCTCTCTCTCTCTCTTTCTCTCTCTCTCTCTGTGTGTGTGTGTGTGTGTGTGAGAGAGAGAGAGAGAGAGAGAGAGAGAGAGAGAGAGAAACTGAGAGAAATCTCCCATTGCTTCCTTCCTATATACATGCAATTGCACTGAAGGCCCACCCTGATCGTTCCAGAAAATCTCCCCATGGCAAGATCCTTAATTTAATCACATCTTAAAGGTCTTGTATCCATGTGAGGGAACATTTACAGGTTCCAGGGATTAGGCTTTGATTTCTTTGAGACAGTGTTTTTCAGGTTACCATATGTAGCCATAGGCAATACCCAGTGTCACTAAGCCTCAGCTTTCCCTTCTGTAAAATGGGGCTAATAACAGGGATATTAGGGTAAGAATTGTATAAACCACTGTATACAAAATACTGATCAGTTTGTTTCTTACAGTTAGGTCAAACACCTGTTCCCTTGCCAGAGGGGAAAAAAGATTCCACCATGGGAGAAGGGTGAGGGTCACAAACAATGGGAGGCAGATGGGTAGAAGTCTCCATGTCCTAGCTTCTCCAGTAAGGACACAAGTCCTGGAAAGGGCAGGGTTAACTAGGATAAGGGCAAAGTCAAAAGCACTGGAAAAGGTCATACCAAAAGGTAAAGCCCCATATCTTAGGTGAGGCATACAAGGTTCCCTGAAGTTCCCCATACCTCTAGGTAAGGCTGAAGAACCTGCCAGATTGGGGCACCTCAGTGCCAGATGTGCTACTCAAAACTAGCAGGGAAATGTCCATCCTAAGATTGGCCTGAGGTTGGAACGGGTTCCTGGGGAACCCTGCTGTACCAGGTTATCAACCTGTCGGTTGCTGGATCGTAGAGAGACCTGAGAAGAGGGTGTCCCATGGGAAAGCAGGAAGAACGGCAATAGGGGGCTGGAGGCACTGCTGTGCAGTAACTGGGAAGTATTTCAGTATTTTAATAATCATTAAGATCTTCACGGCAGATTGTGTGTCTCAGAAATGGCCATGACATGGCCTACATGCACTTCTTAATGGTGTTACTCTGACACTCCTCCCATTGAGAAATGGGACCTAAGTTCCCTTTCTTTAACCTGGGGAGGGAGTTAACTATGGAATAAGCAAGGTGATGTGACTACCAAGATGAGGTCATATAGCTTCTACCTGGTTCTCTTGGGACATCCCTTATTGGAATCCAGCCACTGTGCTGTAATGAAGCCAAACAGCCATATGGAGAGGACACTTATAGGTCTTCTGGCTGTTATGGACTGAATGTTTGTGTCTCCACTGCCCAAATTCATATGTTGAAGCCTCTCAATGTGATGGTATTAGGAGGTGGGGCCTTTGGGGGTGACTAGGTCTAGATAAGATCGTGAGGGTGGCACTCCCATGACAGGATTGATCCCCTTACAAGAAGAAGAGACACTAGAGTTTCCTCTCTCTGCCATGTGAAGATACAAAAGAAGACAAAAGCCTGCAAGCGAGGAAGAGAATCTGCTGGCACCTGATCTTAGACTTCCCAGCCTCCAGAAATAAATGTCTGTTGTTTAAGCCACCTGTCTGTGGTATTTTGTTATGGCAGCCTGAGCTGAGATGCTGGTGAAAAGAAAGCCCCAGCTGAAATCCCAGCAACGGTCTACACCAACTACCGGTCATGTGAGTTGGTGAACCGGCAGGTTGTAGCCAATGAAGTGGGAGACAAAGAGAGGCATGTGACTTCTGGGCCACGTGTTTAAAGGGAGGGGGATATGCCCTCACTTTCCCCCTTTCCCCCTTTCCAGGTGTTGGAATGCAAACATGCTGGGAGTAGACTGGACCATGCATAGGAGGGTAGAATCCTAAGGACAGTGAGGCACAAGTAGAAGAAACAGGACAGCCTGTGAAGATGAGCTGCCCTGCCTGTCTCTGACCGTTCTGAGAGAAGCAACAACTTCTGTCTCATTTCAGCCACTCTTAATTTGGTTTCTCTTACAGCCCACATCTAAATATATGAAAATTGTCAAAGCAGTCACAGGCTCCTTGAGATTCTAGGGAAGGAGACACAGATGATAGAAAGCATCAAGGAACTTTGAGGTCATGTTTAGAACATCCCAGGAGCACATGCAAGGAGACCCTGAGAAGGAACATTCCACATCTGTCCTAGGCTGTGTTACAATGCTCCCTCTGGCCACAGTGCCTCTGCAGGTCCCTTCTGCCTCTCCTACCTCAACACACATACAGCTGCTCAACTCTTCCCGACCTTGGCTAGCAGCTGGCTATCTCAGGGAAGCATTCGCCACACTCCAGGTTGAGTTAGGCATCTTTGTATGTTCCTCATAGCGTAAAGCCATATATTGCTGTCTCACAGCACTTACAGACTTGAAAAGTTTAGATTGTCTTTCCTTCACCAGACTGTTAAGTTCTGTGCTGCCAGGGACTGAATCTGTCTCCAGTGCTGTTTCCCCAGCACCTAGCAGTTCTTGGCGTACAGCAGGTGCTCAATAACACATGTATGTAACCTATGAATGAATGAATCCCTACAAGACAGGACAGATTCACGCAGGGCAGTGTAAATACTGCCTCTTCTAAGGTAAAGAGGCAGAGCTCAGAATCTTGAACCATTTATTGAACGCCAACACGAATGCACATATGCGCTGACTTCCCACAACCATCCCTTTTCAACCACCGTAGTAATGGTGGACGTGGAAGTGTCAACCTGCTCAAAGTCACCCAGTCGTTAACTGACCGACCGTCAATTATTACTCCCATTTCTCAGATGCTGAAACTTTATTAGACAGAAACCCGCCCGGCTAACGACAGCGAGCGAGGAAGGGTGGAGGAAGCAGGATCTGCCCTCCTGCAGGCTGCATCCGGAGGCCTCGGGGCTTCCGGGCTTCCGGTGCGCCTGCCCCGCGGCCTAGGCTTCGGGACTTGCGCGCCGTGTGGGGCGCGCACGCAGGGCGGGGCGTGCGGGGGCGCGCGTGCGCAGGCGTCGCGCGGAGGGACGAGGTAGAACCGCGGAACCGCAGCCAGGTCAGTGCTGGTCCACGCCGCCCACCCAGCGTCCGCTGCGTCCGCTGCCTCCGCCGCCGCCGCCGCCGCCGCCGCCGCCGCCATGGGAGTGCAGGTGGAGACCATCTCCCCTGGAGACGGTGAGTAGGCTCGCCCGGCGACCCCGAGTGGCCCGCGCCGCGCGCATCCGCTCACCGCGCCCGTCTGTGTGTCTTGTCTTTCTCCTCAGGGCGCACCTTTCCGAAGCGCGGCCAGACCTGCGTGGTGCACTACACCGGTGAGTCGGCGGCGGGCCTGCGGGGTGGGGGGCCGCGGCCTGCGGGCAGACGCCCTGGGCGTGGCGGCGGCGAAGCCCGCGTGGCCCGAGGCTGAGGCCTGGGCGGTAGCAGCGCCCCCGAGGGGCAGCCTCGGGCCTGCCGAACCCGGGACGGTCTGAGCCGGCGCTTGTGAGCGCTGCCAGCGGATTGGGCATCGTCTCGCGCTTCCAGAGCAATTCTGTGCTTCGCATGCCGCCCTTACGCCCACTGCACAGATGGGGAAACTGAGGCTTGGGGAGGCGAAGTCGTGTGCCCAAGGTCACACGCTCAGGAATGGGCAGAGCCCTGGCCAGGGACCATCAGAAAGGATTTGCAGCATTTCTGTATCCGGTTGATAACCTGGACCGCCTTCCGGCCCTCTCTTCGATGGAGATATGGAGGGCGGGGTAATACCCAGTCTGCCGAGCTGCCTCTTCCCCCACCGGAGGAGGTAGGGATTTGTCCCTCCGCGGTGGGTGGAGAAACGTCCCAGTTCCATAGTCACTGCTTTGGGCTCAGCCTGGCCCTAGAGGAACTAGATCTCCAAGGTCTTTTTCTCATTACTTTTCAGCACTTACAAATCCAGGGGCAGTAATGGCCTAGGCTGACAGCACAAGTAATTTAGGCCCTCATCCCTTCTACGAGTAGACGCTTTTTTCACCCCCATTTTAAACATAAGGAAACAGGCCCAGTTAGGAAAGCTAACAGTAAGATAAGCCAGAGGAAATCGTGAACCCTCAGCCGGAATTCAGGCATCAGAGTTGCGAGTCCTGTGCCTTGAGACCATCTTTCACTCCATGCCCTTACAAGGTCCCCTTGGGTTGTGATGGGGAGGTGGGGGGAGGCTGAGCAGGCGGAGGCCCTGGGCTGTGGGCTGGAGGAGGGGTCTGGTGACTGGTGTAGCCACTGTGCAAACCTTGGCTTCCCCTCCTTCCCCTTCTTGCCCTTCTCACCCTTTGCTTGGTGCCTCCTCCTCCTTCCTCTGTTTCTTCTTCCCTCCTTTTTCCTCCTCTCCCTCCTCCTCCCCTGGGTAGTAGGCTGTAGGCAGTTCTGACAGGGGTACTCAGGATAAGCCCTACCCTTCTCTCTCAGATCATGGCAGGGTGGGGGGATGGGCTTCTGTTGAGGGAAATGACTTTCACTGGAAAGGAAAAAGACAACTAACATCTCCCTCCTGTACCCCTTTATTTCTGTGGCTCTTTTGTTTGTCTGGTCCTTCTCCATAGGTAGAAATGGGGACAGGGGTTGGAGGGAGTTAAGTCCAGAACCTTTAAAAAGGCTGCTAAAGGAGGAGGTATTGAAACTCATCTTTGTAGGGAACAGTCTCAAGCCTGTGAACAAAATGAAGCGGTTTTGATGTTTTAAACAACATTGTGGGCCGTGGTCAGCACCTGAACCTAGGAGATCTGGTAGAGGAAAGTCAGTTTGGTTGGTTTTGATCAGTGGGATGAGAAGAGTAACCATTGCCTTTTACAGTGCTGGGGTGTTCATTTAACGCCCATAGCCAGCTGGGGCAGACTGGGGCTCAAGAGAGGTGATGAGGTGACTTCGAAACACACACACCTGGTTTGTAAGTAACCAACACTAGGATAATTGGCCACATCTGTCCCACCCCTCAAGTGTGTGCCCCTCATCTTTGGCTTACCCATTTTCTGATGCTGATGGCAGGACTGGATGCCAGCATGTAGGCAGGACAGCATTTCACTGTGCCTCTTAGTGAAATGTCCCTGCTCAGCCTGTATGGAGTCTTTTCCTAAGAGAACAGATGGTCGTGGGACCCAGAACACCATCAGGGATCCCAGTGCCTCTTTGCCATGTGTGTGTTTTCTTTGAGGGTGGTGCCCACCCACACATTCCTTGAATGTGGCAGGACCCTGGTATGCATTAGGACAAAAGCTTTCTTATTTTATTTCTGACAAGCCTACAGAGATGCCTTAGTGAGAAGCCAGTCAGCCTCACTCTCACAGAATACACCGTTCTCCGTAGGTGGCATTGTTCCTGTGGGTCTTTGCCACCAGCCTCCTAGGAAGAACCTGTTTGAGACCTGTGGGGATGTGAGAGGAATAGTTAGGCACTTTAAAATTTCATCTATAGAAGTTAAGGCTTTTAAGCCACTGGGAACAGAATCCATCTTGAGGGAGCATGTTAGGGTGGGTGGGGAGTAGGAGTATCATAAAGATCGGAGGGTCTTCAAAGGCAGGAAGCCTACTGACTCTTGAGGGGAGGAGGAAGTCTCATGAAGCCCTGGTTTTCATCTGGTTTTCTCTGCCTAGCTGCTTCAGTAGTCTCCTGTTACAGATGTATTCTGCTTTTCCCACATGGTGGATCGAAAGTCCCCTGCTTGCCCACCCACCCTACTGCCACTCCCATGCCCAGTTTCTCTTGTTTCTTCATGAGTATGGAGCTCAGATTGCTTGGCTGTGTGCCTCCAATGATTATAATTCCAAGGAGGGGAAATCTGATTAACCCAGGTTTGGTTCAAGTGAGCAGTCTTGATCTAGTCCACTCTGGTCAGGTGTCCATTATTGCCAGTTTGGGGCCAGGTCTAAAGGAACAGCAGTGGCGGTAAGCCACCAGAGGTATGTCTAGCACAGATGTTACCACAAGGATGTTTTAAATGCTACTGGCGGCTGCCAGTAGTAGCCTTGACGCTACTCTCAAGTCTCTCTTGGGTGCCTTCTGTGGCCTCTAGCAGAGCACAGCATGAGCTCAGCTCAGAGAAAGGCCCATGCCACCTCTTTGTGGTGCCAGAAGGAAAATGAAAACTTCATTGTCACCAGCCAAGCATCTAGTAGCATGACAGGCATTGGGGTGGGAGGGAGGAGGTGGAAAGATAACCTGCCAGGTATGTGCCTTGAGGATCAGGTGGATTCTCACAGCTCCTTCCTTGCCTCCAGTGGCTTCATCATTGTTATTGTTGCGCTTGTCTTGACACAGCTAGGCTTATGTCTCTTTTCCTCACATCAGCGGGCCACGTGTCTGTTATTGTCAGAGCAACCTCAGATGGATTGAAGGAATTCTTTATCTTAGTAGCAGTTGACATCTTGTCCTTGAGTTCGGGTTTAAGTAGTCCATGGCCTGGCTTCTGACAGAAAAACCAAGAGTCCCTCAGCCCATCTCCTCTGGAGGTCCACTTGGAGGGCAGGTGAAGGCGTTTTCCTGCAGCCCCCCGCCCCCACCCACCTTGATTTTCTTTAGCCTCTGCTCTCCCTTCTCTCTGCTCTACTCCATTGACTCCCCTGAGGGGTGTTTCTTGGCTGATGCTCTGATGTCTGGAGGATGGCTCACCCCCAGCAGAGACTCTTCGGATGGCTTCCTTCTGTGTCATCTTCGGACAGACAGGTTCTAACCGCTCGGGCAAGGCTGCAACAGGACTCTTCCTTCTTCTAGCAAATGTTATTGAGCAGCAGCAGCAAGCCAGGCACTAGGGACTTGGTCAGTGAACTAAACAGATGTGGTCTGATGGGGCTCCCTGCTGGGTGACAAGACTAATAGCATGAAGGTGTGACACAGCAGGTGGTGGTGAGAAGCACTGTGGAAAGATTAAAGCAGAGTGAGGGCATGGGCAGGGGTCTGTTGCCTTTCCTGAAGGTGGATGGAAAAGGCCTGTGACAAAATGACATTTTAGTATTTTTCTAGAGGAAGTTGGGGAGTGGGCTAGTGCAAAGGCCCTGAGGCTGGAGCATGCTTGGTGTACTGGAGGACAGCAAGGAGACCAGTGTAGCTGGACTGGGTTGCATGAGGGGAAGGTGGTAGGAGATAAGGTAGTGGTGGAGCCTTGCAGTTTACAACCACATTGGCTTTCTCTCTCAGTAGGGTAGGAGCCATTAGAGAATCATGAGCTGACTTGGGTTTTAACAGGCCCACTCCCTTCTGGCTACTGTGTGGACATTGAACTGTTGGGGACAATGGCAGAAATAGGACGCTGGTTGTATCCTGGGTGTGTGGAGTGTGCCAGCCTTGGCAGGTGAGCAGGGATGGACAGTGTCAGGTGGACAGTGAGCCCCAAAGAGGATGTGGGTCCTTTACTGGATTCTGATCTAGCCTCTGCCCTATAACACGTTATGAGAACTTGAGCCAGCGTCTCGCTTTTCTCAGCTTCCATGTGCCATCTGTAAACCAGGAGAAACAGTGCCTGCTGTGAGGAGTTGCTGGGGGCAGCAGTTATGCTGTTAGTGCACATCCTGTCATGAGGGCTCCCTGTGTCCCAAGCCCATGGTGCGTATCCCTGAGTCCTTGCAGCTGTCACCACCTGTGATGTCTAGAGTGGGAAACCTGCAGAGCCTTGGTCCCTGCACCCAGCTCCTAGAGAGGCCCAACCTTGCAGTTAAGAACCGAGAGAGTTGGGGCGCTGAGACCACATCCTCCCACTTTACAGATTGGGAAATAGGCACTTGAAGAGATGAATCTGAAGAAGCTGGTTCTTTCTCTGGGTATGCTCCAGACGTTTGATCATGCAACATGCGTAGGGTTCCCAGAACTCCAGTTCAAGAAGGTTGCCCTGGGACTACAATTGGGCCTAGAAAGGGAACAGAATTGTAAGCTTTGAATTACTACTTCTTACCTTCTTCAGCGTGTAAAATCTCTCTTGGCATCATGATTGGGACAAGTGGATAGTTGATAATGTTAATCATGAAAGTGACAATTTATTTAAATGTTTTATTTCAAATCCAAACATAAATCATTTGCTAAAAGGACTGTGTCTTTCCTTTGGGATGACTCTTCTGATAGTTTCTCGTCAAGATTCTTGAAAAAACTAATTTAGGCCTCCTTTAAAGTAGAGCAGGAACTGTTGTAAGGTCATGTAAAGGCCAAACCTTTCTAGAGTTTAAGATTTTTTCTTCAGACATACATTAGTCTCATCCACACAATATCATTCAATAGCAGTATTTTTTTTAGATACTTGCCTTTATTGAGTCTTTCCAGTCAGCTAGGACCACTCTTTTTCTGTTCACATTCATATTTCATTTATTTACACATT